CTTCTGTATATAAAGATAATTGAGCCGGCACCGTGGCTCAATAGGCTAATCCTCCGCCTTGTGGCGCCAGCACACTGGGTTCTAGTCCCTGTCGGGGCGCCGGATTCGGTCCGGTTGCCCCTCTTCCAGGCCAGCTCTCTGCTGTGGCCCGGGAGTGCAGTGGAGGATGGCCCAGGTGCTTGGACCCTGCACCCCATGGGAGATCAGGATAAGTACCTGGCTCCTGCCATCGGATCAGCGCGGTGCGACGGCCATTGGAGGGTGAACCAATGGAAATGGAAGACCTTTCTCTCTGTCTCTCTCTTTCTCACTGTCCACTCTGCCTGTCAAAAAAAAAAAAAAAAAAAAAGACAATTGAAAATAATCTTGGCCAGCGTCGCGGCTCACTAAGCTAATCCTCCGCCTTGCGGCGCCGGCACACCGGATTCTAGTCCCGGTCGGGACACCAGATTCTGTCCCGGTTGCCCCTCTTCCAGGCCAGCTCTCTGCTGTGGAGCGGGAGTGCAGTGGAGGATGGCCCAAGTGCTTGGACCCTGCACCCCATGGGAGATCAGGATAAGTACCTGGCTCCTGCCATCGGATCAGCGCGGTGCCCCGGCTGCGGCGGCCATTGGAGGGTGAACCAACGGCAATGGAAGACCTTTCTCTCTGTCTCTCTCTCTCACTGTCCACTCTGCCTGTCAAAAAAAAAAAAAAAATGATTCTTGAGGTGAATGGAATGGGAGAGCGAATGGGAGTTGGGATGGTTGTGGTGGGAGGGAAGTTGTGGGGGGGGAAAATCCATTATAATCCATAAGCTGTACTTTGGAAATTTATACTTACTAAATAAAAGTTAAAAAAAAAAAAAAAGGACTCCACTGAGAGACTATTGAAACTCACAAAAGAGTTTGGTAAAGTTGCAAGATATAAGATTAACACACAAAAATCGGTAGCCTTTGTATACACAGACAATGCCATGACTGAGAAAGAACTTCTAAGATCACAGTAGCTACAAAAAGAATTAAATACTTTGGAATTAGTTTAACCAACAATATCAAAGATCTCTACAATGAAAATCAGAGAACATTGAACAAAGAAATAGAAGAAGACACAAAAAAAACAGAAAAATATTCCATGTTTATGGGCTGGAAGAATCAATATCATCGAAATGCCCATTGACAGCAATTTACAGATTCAGTGTTATCCCAATAGAAATACCTACAGATCTGAGATCTCACAAAAATGATGCTAAAGGTCATCTGGAAATACAGAAGACTCTGAATAGCTAAAGCAATCTTGTGCAATAAAAACAAAGCTGAGGCATCACAGTACCAGTTTCAAGACTTACTAAAAGCAGTAATAAGCGAAACAGCCTGGTAGTGGCAGAAAAATAGACATGTAGACCAAGGGAACAGAATAGATGAAAGTCAAACCCTGGATCTACAGCCAACTTATATATTTATATTTTTTAATGTATATATTTGAAAGGCAGAGTTACAGAGAGGCATTTGGTTTACTCTCCAAATGGCTACAATGGCTCGAACTGGGACAATTCGAAGACAGGAGCCAAGAGCTTCTTCTGGGTCTCCCACACAGGTGCAGGTACCCAGGCACTTAGGCCATCTTCTCCTGCTTTCCCAGGCCAAAACAGAGAGCTGGATCAGAAGAGGAGCAGCCATGATACGTACCAGCACACATATGAGGCTGGTACTGTAGGCAGCGGCTTTACCCACTGTGCCACAGCTCTGGCCCACCAACTTATCTTTAACGAAGGAGCTAAAATCAGCCCCTGGAGCACGGACAGTGTCTTCAATAGATGGTGCTGGGAAAACTGGATCTCCACATGCAGAAATATGAAACAAGATCCCTGCCTTGTACCTTATATAAAAATCCACTCAAAGTGGATGAAAGGCCTAAATCTTTGACCCAGTATCATCAAATTACTAGAGAACATTGGAGAAACTCTGCAAGACATTGGCATAGGCTAAGACTTCTTGGAAGAGACCCCAGAAGCATAGGCGGTCAAAGCCAAAATTGAAAAATGGAATGGCAACAATCTGAGAAGCTTCTGCACTGCAAAAGAAACACCCAGCAAAGTGAAGAGGCAAAGACAGAAGATGAGAATTTATTTGTAAACTATGCAACTGATAAAGAGTTGATATCCAGAATCTATAGAGAGATCAAGAAATTCAACAACAGAAGAAGCAATCCAGTTAAACAGGCAAAGGACTTGAACAGGCATTTTTCAAGAGAGGAAATCCAAATGGCAAACAGACATTTGATAAAATGTTCAGGATCACTAACCATCAGGGAAATGCAAATCAAAACCACAATGAGGTTTCGTCTCACCCCGGTCAGAATGGCTCACATACAGAAATCTACCAACAACAAATGCTGGCCAGGATGTGGTAAAAATGGTGCCCTAATCCAGTGTTGATGGGAATGTAAACTGGTCCAGCCACTGTGGAACAGAGCATGGAGATACCTAAGAAATTTGAAAATATATCTACCATATGATCCAGCCATTGCACTCCTGGGACTTTACCCAAACCTGAAGAAATCATTATATGAAATAATTATTTGTATTCCCATGTTCATTGCAGCTCAATTCATGTTAGCCGAGGTATGGAATCAACCTAGACATCTATCAACTGATGACTGAATAAAGAAATTATGGTATATACATTGTGGAGTATTACTCAGCTGTAAAAACAAAAATTGATATCCCTTCTTTTGCAACAAAAGGGATGCAACTGGAAACCATTATACTTAGTGAAATAAGCTAGTCCCAAAAAGACAGTTATCATGTTTTCCCTGGTCTGGGGTAACTGGTAGAGTACCTAAAATATAATGTATTGGAGTGAAATGGACATTTTGAGATTTGATGGTTATTTATACCCCTTTTCTGTTCTGTTGAGGAACAGTGTTTGTTGAACTGCTTGCTTAGTGGATGGTTAACCTTACGAGTAGTAAGTAAACTGAAAATAGATCTTTGTAAAAACTAAGAGTGGGAATAGGATAGGGAAGAGGAAGAAGGGTTGGAGTGTGAGTGGGAGGGGAGGGTAGAGTGGGAAGTATCTCTGTGTTCCTAAATCTGTGTATATGAAATACATGAGGGCGATGCCGAGGCTCACTAGGTTAATCCTCCGCCTGTGGTGCTGGCACCCCAAGTTCTAGTCCCGGTTGGGGTGCTGGATTCTGTCCCGTTGCTCCTCTTCCAGTCTAGCTCTCTGCTGTGGCCCGGGAGTGCAGTGGAGGATGGCCCAGGTTCTTGGGCCCTGCACCCGCATGGGAGACCAGGAGGAAGTGCCTGGCTCGTGGCTTCAGATCGGCACAGCGCCAGCCATAGCAGCCACTTAGGGGGTGAACCAACAGCAAAAAGGAAGACCTTTCTCTCTGTCTCTCTCACTGTCTAACTCTGCCTGTCAGAAAAAAAAAATACTTGAAACTGGTATAAGTTAAGTAAAATAGAAAAAAAAAGATTATTTGAGAGGAAGAGTTACAGAGAGAGAGATGGCGAGACAGAGAGATAGAGAGAAAGGTCTTCCATCCACTAGTTCACTCCCCAAATGGCTGCAAAGGCTGGAGCTGGGCTGATCTGAAGCCAGGAGCCAGGAGCTACTTCTGTGTCTCCCACAGGTGTGTAGGGACCCAAGCACTTGGGCCATCTTACACTGCTTTCCCTGGTCATTGGCAGAGAGCTGGATTGGAAGAGGGACAGCCAGGATATGAAGCATCACCCATTTGGGTTGCTGGTACTGCAGGTGGAAGATTAGCCTACTGGCCCTGAGATTTTATGTTCTTTCTTTTCCAGTATGCAAAACACAAAAATTGAATGGTAATACTTTGTTATTAGAGTAAGTGAATGAGGAAGTGCAATATCTATGGTTGGTAATCTGGCAGTATCTGCCAAAATTATATGTGTTTACCCTTTGACCTACCAATTCCACTGTCAATCCCATTAACAGATGACTGGTTAAATATGTTTACATAAGGAACACTATGCAATTGGATTAAAAGAATGAGGAAGGTACTTGAAATGGAAAAATTATCCAGTATATTAGTAGAAAACAAAACAAGAGGAAGAACTGAATTACTTTTTTGTTATAAGAGGAAATTCATATCATACTTACATTTATAAAAAAAAACATTGGAAGGATAATTATCAGTAAACCTATATAACAGATGGGCTCTTTGGTGTGGAAGGTTAAGCCTTTCTCTACCTCTGTCTCTCTGTTACTCCGCCTTTCAAATAAATACATAAATCTTTTTGTAAAAAATTATTTTTGTATTTATTTGAAAAGCATAGCAGGATGAGGAGAGAGAGAGAAGGTGAGTGAGTGAGCTTCAACACACTGGTTCAACTCCCTGGATGGCTACAGCGGTCATGGCTGGGCCAGGCTGAAGCCAGGAGCCAGGAAATCCATCTGGGTCTCCTACATGAATGACAGAGACTCAAGCATTTGGACAATCATCCACAGCCTTTTTAGACTCAATAGTAGGAACTGGAAGCAGAGCAACTGGGACTTGGCAGTTTGATATGGGATACTGGTGTCACAGGCAGTGTCTTGAACTGCTGCCCCACAGTGCTACCAACCAGTCAGTTTTAATTTCTAACAAGGGAATATATTTATATAACTTGAGTAAATAAAAGGCATTTGAGATCTTCAGTAATTTGTAAGAGCATTATTTGAGACCAAGGAATTTGAAACCTGCTGCACTGCATTTGTCACTATTAATGAAGGCTGTGCCTGCCATGATAATATAGAAAAACTCCCCCAATTTGGTAATGTTGGTGAGAAAAGTAGAATACAATCTCCACAATTATTATCACAGTTATGAGACAAGAAAAGAAAATAGTACTGGAGCAGGTTGAGCAAAATCAAATAGATATTATATTAAAGTTACATTATTTTGAGTTATTTTATCCTTAGTTTTTCCTGAGTTTTTATACTATGGGTAAGTGTGTATGTGGTGAACAGTTTGTTAAAATATGAATGGGAATATTATGTGTGTTTCAGAAACTCTGTAGTGATGCTCAAGTTAAAGTCTTTGGGAAGTGTTGCCAGCTGAAACCTGGAGGAGACAGTTCTTCCTCTTTGGATAGTTCTGTGACTTTATCTTCTGATGTCAAAGACCAGTGTCCTAAGTACCAGGTAAGACCATGGATGTCATTTATTTACTCATTTCCAAATACTTTTGAGCTCCATCATAGGGATTTGGGATATTACAGTGATTAGAAATTATCTTCCTAGAGCTTTCATTGTTGCTGTAGAGATAGATTATTAAACAAGTTTTTGAAATTTGATGAATTTTGGGATAGAAGTAAAGAGCTGTGGGCATAGGTAGCAGGGAGATTTTTCTCCGTTCATTTCCTAATTCAGATTTATTGGATTACCAGAATAATTTTTTATTTTATATCCTTTCTAATTACTGAAGTATGAAGACAAATAGAAAATATTAATACAGTTCAACTGTAGTGTGAAGTTAAAGTATAATTGGAAATACACATAATCAGAAATGCACCTGTTCATTTTTCTGAATTTAATGTGACTCTTAAAATACTGAACTAAGCAACTCAGCAGCTAAATAGGAACTTCTGTATAAACTCGTAACATTTTACTTAAGATCAGTTTTCAGGCTAAGCAGATAACTTCTCATGTAAACTTGTGTCATTCAAGTTTGCATGAATCACAAGTGTTTCATATTTGTCAGTACCAAAGTAAAATCTTAGGCTTTTTGATTATTTGTAATGAGATAATTACATTTTGATGGAAATTAGTCTTTCTCAAGACAACATTTATTTGCAGGACTTCTAAAATTAGTATAGTTCGTATTTTAGAAGGTAACTGGACAGTTCTCTTTGTCTTCTGATTTCTCTACACTAGGCACAATACCTTAAATGATTCCTAGTAGTGCTATGTCATATGGCACCATTATAACTTAGGACATTTTGCAAATTTAATAAGTTTTTTAATTTGAAAAGCTGTGCAAATTTGACTTTCTTGAATTTATTTTATGGTTAAAAATAAGTTTTAGCAAACTGATACTGACTGTAGCAATCTGAAGATGATAGTTTTAATCTTACTTTGTATTAGACTCAAATTTGCTCTTTTTTTTTTTTTTTGATCAAAAAAGGAAGGGTTGAATTATTGTAACATAGTTTACTACATTTGATAAAATTTTAGTTCAGGTAACCAGAATGTTATCTTTGATTTATGCATGTTATGTCATTCTAGCACTGAGTATATGGAAAGACTATTCAAGTAAGGCATTATACAAGGCAGTGATAATAATAGCACTTTCTTAAATACTCTTCATTATGGATTATGTCACATTAAAATACATGACATTCTAGTGATATTCATGTTAACTATTCGGTATATATTAGAGCAAATTACATGGTTTCATATAATTTAAAGTGTATTTTACTTTTTGAGGATTATGTTCTTTGTAGTAAAATTATGTCTTGATATTTAAATTTATATAGCTTACTTAATATAAGAAATAATTCAGTAAACTAACAGTGGTGTTAGATACATAACAAAAATGAGCTTTGGGGGCCAATGCCATGGTGTAGAGTTAAGCCACCACCTGCAGTGCCAGCATCCCATATGAGCCCTGATTCATGTCCCAGCTGTACCACTTCTGGTCCAGTTCCTGCTAATATACTTGGGAAAGCAGTGGAAGATGGCCCAAGTGCTTGGGCTTCTGCACCTACTTGGAAGGCCTGGAAGAAGTTCCTAGCTCCTCGCTTTGGTGTTGTGGCCTTTTAGGGGGTGAACCGCAGATGGAAGATTTGTCTCTTTCTCTTCCCCTTTTTTCTCTGTTAGTGTGCCTTTCAGATAAATAAGATAAATCTTTAAAAGCAAAATGAGCTTTGAAGGGAAAGCTCTCATTTATCTCATTAGCCAGGAGTAATTTAGGTTGCCAAAGTACAAATGACACTGATCTTAAAAAAAAAAAAAAAGACCCAGAAACCCCAGGAGTGGGCATTTGGCTTAGTGGTTGAGAATACCACTTAGGATGTCCACATCTGGTTCATTTCCTGGCTCAGCTTCTGCTAATGGGTACCCTGGGAGGCAGCAGGTAATGACTCAAATACTTGGGTCCCTACCACCCACATGAGAGACCTGTGTGGAGTTCTTGGCTCCTGGCTTTGGCTTGGTGCAGCCCTGGCCAGTTCAGGCACTTGGGATGTGAAAAAGTCAATGGAAGTTAGCTCTTTGTCTCTCTATCTCTTGCTGCCTTTTAAATGAAATAAATTTTTTCTTTAAAAATTTATTTATTTATTTTAAAGAGTTACACAGAGAGAGGAGAGGCAGAGAGAGGTCTTCTATCCACTGGTCTGCTGATTCACTCCCCGACTGGATGCAATGGCCAGAGCTGCGCTGATCCGGAGCCAGGAGCCACGAGCTGCCCCCAGGTTTCCCACGTGGGTGCAGAGTCCCAAGGACTTAGGCCATCCTCCACTGCCCTCCCAGGCCACAGCAGAGAGCCAGATTGGAAGTGGAGCAGCTGGGACTTGAACTGGCACCCATATGGGATACCGGCACTGCAGGTGGCAGCTTTACCCACTACGCCACAGTGCCAGCCCTGAAATAAATTTTTAAAACTTAAAAAAAATTTTTAAATACTATTTGATCATTTTAAAAATTATTCTGCTTTGTTTCAAAAAAGTTGTTCCTAATGCCAAACCTGTATGCATCAAAATAAAGCTTTGATCTTTTTAAAAAAGATTTATTTATTTATTTATTTGAAAGGCAGAGGCAGAGAGAGAGGTCTTCCATCCACTGGTTCACTCCCTAGATGACCACAATGGCCAGAATTGGGCTGATCTAAAGCCAGGAGCCTGGAGCTTCTTCTGGGTCTCATACTAGGGTACAGGACCCAAGGAGTTGGGCCATCTTCTACTGCTTTCCCAGGCCATAGCAGAGAGCTAGATTGGAAGAGGAGCGGCTGGGACTCGAACCAGTGCCCACATGGGATTCCAGCACAGCAGTTGGTGGCTTTGCCTGCTTCACCACAGTGCTAGCCCCTGAAGATTTGATCTTAATCAAATCCCAGGAATAGATGAGTTCTTCATATTCATAACCTAGATAGAACAAATTATTTTTCATAAATATTAATAACTTTGTGACTTTACTAAAATAAAACACAAAGGACAGCTCTGAGAAAGAAAAATACATTAAGTAAATATGTATAAAATTAGTATAAAGTTTTATATAGTAAAATAAATTGATACGTGAAGGTTATTTTTTTAAAGGAAAAGTGAAAAAGTTTATAATTTTATTTTAACCCCCCAAAATAGGAAAATTCAAGATAGTCAATAAAAGGCAAAAAGAGTAGAAGAATATTTTATAGGCTGGTCAGTGAGTACTAAGTTATAGTTAGTAGAAATAAGTTGTGGTGCTCTATTGCACATTAGTGCCACTATAGATAATGAGAATAGACTTTTTTGGAGAAGCTATCAAATAGGATTTTTTTGAAATCTTTCATTTAATAAATAGAAATTTCATGGGTACAGATTTTTGGAATATAGTAGTTCTTCCCTCTATACCCACCTTCCTCCCCCACACTGCTGTCCTACCTCCTACTCCCTCTTCCATCTCATTCTTCATTAATATTCATTTTTAATTATCTTTATATACAGAAGATCAACTGTATACTAAGTAAAGATTTCAACAGTATGCACCCACACAGACACACAAAGTATAAACTACTGTTTGAAGACTAGTTTTACCATTATGTATCATAGTACAACTCATTATGGGGAGCAAGTGCACAGTGACTCATGTTGTTGATTTAACAATTAAGACTCTTATTTATGATGTCAGTGATCACCCGAGGCTCTTATAGGCATCCAAGGCTATGGAAGCCTTTTGAGTCCACAAACTCTGACCTTAATTAGACAAGGCCATAATCAAAGTGAAGGTTCTTTCCTCCTGATTCTGAGGGCTGATTCTGAGGCCAGGGTGCTGTTTAGGGCATTTGTCATTCTGTGAGTCTGCTGTGTGGCCTGCTTCCCATGTTGGATCATTTTCTCCTTTTTAATTCTATCGTTTTTTTTTTTAAAGATGTATTTATTTTATTTGCAAGTCAGAGTTATACAAAGAGGAGAGGCAGAGAGAGAGAGAGAGAGAGAGAGAGAGAGAGAGAGAGGTCTGCCATCCGATGGTTCACTCCTCAATTGGCTGCAACGGCCGGAGCTGCGCCGATCTGAAGCCAGGAGCCAGGAGCTTCTTCCGGGTGTAGGGGCCCCAGGACTTGGGCCATTTTCCACTGCTTTCCCAGGCCATAGCAGAGAGCTGGCTCTGAAGTGGAGCAGCCAGGTCTCGAACCGGCGCCCATATGGGATGCCGGCGCTTCAGGCCAGGGTGTTAACCTGCTGTGCCACAACACCGGCCCCTCTATCTATTGTTATTAGAAGACACTTGGTCTTATTTATGTGATCCCTTTAACACTTATTCCTGTCTTTATGATCAGTTATGCACTTAAAATGATCACTTTAGTACAACGGCATTAGTACCTGCCAACTTAATGGGATTTGGGGTCCCATGGCAAGTTCAAATAGGATTTTTAATGTTTTCATCACAAGGAAGTAAATGAGGAGATAGATATGCTTACCCTAATTTGTACATTATCCAGTATATATGTGTATTGAAATATCACATCATACTCTCTAAATATATATCATTTTTATGTTTTATAAAGAGAATCTCATTATAAAAAGAAGTGATGCACAGATGTATTCGCTGGCTGTCAGGGGTGAGATGGGGATCCTCATCACTTTTGTGTTATCACTCAGATGTTTAAAACATTTTAGTGGGGCTGGCGCTGTGGTGCAGAAGGTTGAAGTCCTAGCCTGCAGCGCCAGCATCCCCTATGGGCTCCAGTTGAGTCCCGGCTGCTCCACTTCTGATCCAGCTCTCTGCTATGGCCTGGGAAAGCAGTAGAAAATGGCACAATTCCTTGGGCCCCTGCACCGCATGGGAGACCTGGAAGAAGTTCCTGGAAGAAGTTTCAGATTAGCTCAGCTCTGGACATTGCAGTCATTTGGGGGGTGAACCAGTGGAATGGAGGACCTCTGTCTCACTCTCTAGCTGTACCTCTCTATGTAACCCTGTCTTTCAAATAAATAAAATAAATCTTTAAA